GGAAAGTGTTCAGTGCAGATCAGTGAGTAAGCACAAGCCCGCCTTGTTTCAGTACCTATGCTTAAACTGCCTAAGGCACTTGACTACTAACCAGAAGGCTGGCAGTTCAAGCCCACCAGCCACTCCTCGGAAGGAAGATGAGACAATCTACTTCCATAGTGATACTGCCTCAGCTACCCAAAGAGGGGTCGCTATGAGTCGGGTCCAACTCAACAGCACATAACAACAACAACAACATACACCCACACATATAAGCAAATATGAAAAAAACAACATATATATGTGTGTGTATACATAAGCAGAGAGAGAGCAAGAGCTAGAGAGTCAATTCCAACTCAAAGCAAAACTACAGAACACAGTAGAACTGCTACGTAGGGTTCCCAAGGCCATAAGTCTTTATGGAAGTAGACTGCCATCTTTTTCCATGGGTTGGAACTGCCAACTTCTCAGTTATCAGTCAAGCATTTAACCACTGTACCACCAGGGTTCAAACAAATACTTGTACAAAAATTCTCATAACAACTTTATTCCTAATAACCAAAAACTGAAAACAACCCAAAAGTCCATTAACAGCTGAATGGACAAACTGTGGCATACTCAAACAATGGTATACTATTCTACAATAAAAAGGAATGAAATACAGTTGAAAGTATCTCAAAAACACCACGCTGAATGAAAGACGCCAGAGACAAATGAATACCTAAAAATACACACTGATAATTCTGCTTATATGAAGTTCTAAGAAAGGCAAAAAATAACCTGTAGTGATAGAAATCAGACCAGTGGTTGCTAGGGCAGAAGGGAGCAGGTGGGGAGGGGGAAAGAATGACTGCAAAGAGGCATGAGGGAGCATGCAGCTAATGGAAACATCCTATATCTTGACTGGGGTGGTAGCTACATTTATCTAAACTCATTAAACTATATACTTAAAATGTGTGCATTTTATTGTTTGTAAATCATGTATCAGTAAAGTTTATTTAGTAATATGGGGAGCTCTGGTAGCATAGTGCCTGAGGCACTTGACTGCTAACCAAAAGGCTGGCAGTTCAAACCCACCAGCCACTCCTTGGAAGGAAGATGGGGCAATCTACTTCCGTAGTGATACTGCCTCGGAAACCCAAGGAGGGGTC